TTAATTTGATAATTAATTAAAATTTCCAAAGGTCAATAAGTTAGCAAAAGTTAGGGCACTATTTTAGCAATATATTCTTGAGACTAAATAAAGTAAAAAAGTCTAATCTCTATTTTTTCTTTCGACAAATTCGACAAATTTTTGTCTGAAACATTTTTCTTTAAAATGTCGCGTTTACAAAAATATCGGGTGATACGGCTGATCTGGGACTCCCCTGTATACACGCACATCGTTCACATCGTGACTGAATAATGATGGCCGCGAACGGGTGAAATTATCTATATCGGTTAAAATGTTATTGTATTCTCTTTGAGACTTCTTTCATCTTACATCATTATTGTTGTCCTTTTTTCTTTTTATTACAACACGTTATACTCTTCGTCGACACACACGATGTGTGCGTATGAACTTTTTTCTTCGTTTTTATCCTTCACGAATCACTGCAATATTAAGTTTTTAACAAAGTTTTCGAGGTATTTGTCCTTAGATTTGACGAAGAAAAGAATTTTTCGAGATATTTAGAGAATTGCAAATGGGTTAACGCATGATGTCGCGACGGCCGCCGGCTACGGCCGCGACATTCTGCTAAAGTGACCGAAATGTAATTATCGTATATATTATGTACGTAATGATTGAATAATTAAATGAATATTTGATGTAGCAGATATAATTATACGTTAATATGATTATGTTATAATTGATATGCCGATGAATAACGGTTAAACCAGGTGAAAGATATGCAGGGAGTGGCAATCCGACGCTCGTGGCTATAATCGCACGGTGAAATAATGAATGGAGGAATCTACTTTTGTGGCGAGCACTGCGATAATGCATTGACAATAGCCTTGTACATATACATATAGCTGTCACTACATTTTGCTAGGCTGACAGGAGAATATGAAAATGCTTGTCTTTACATCGATTCATCTGTTTGACTGTTCGACAGTAGGATGTTTTTGTTATTTTCTATTGTCAGGACGAGTGAATTTTCACCCATAATTCTTCTTTGATTATTTCTTTCGAGTTTACACGAATTGTAAATATTTGGTAGGAATTTGCAGTAATGTGTGTGTGTGTGAAACGGTTTTAAATTATACATAATTTTTCAAAGGAAAAATAATAACCATAACCTTTCATTGTAAAAAAGAAGATTTTTTTTATCTGAGCATAAATAGTCTGAGATATTTGTCTCAGACATTATATTAGTAGTTAATTCTTTCTAATTTTTGACAATTTTCAATCTTTATTTAAAAATCAATAGAACATGGTCACAACATTTTCACCATAAGCGGCACAAATTATCTTGGCTGTTTCAGAAACGTTTTTGTTTGAATGAAATGTGAAATGCATTGCGTATCAAATATGCTCTTTGTTGGTAGCCATCGTGAATATTACAGATCACTTGAGATTATATGCATCAAACGCCAAAGCATTTTGAAAAGTTAAATGTCAGCGCAAATTTAAAACCGCAAAAGAGCGGCGGAATATCTCAATTTCATATTTTGCTCTGAGCGATGTAAATTTCATCGGAAGGAGTTAACTACTAGACCTAATAAATCCTGCCAGGACATTACCGCTATGTAATGTATCGTCTAATAGCAACAGTTAAAAAATATCTTCGGACGAATCCTCAGGATGAAGGAAACACGCCGAAAGTGACACTGCACTTTGTGATAAGATTGATAATTTCTTTTCTCCGTGCGTGTGCCTCGAATTACTTTACTTTTAATTACTTTAATTACTAAATTACTTCGATTAATTTATTTATTTGTCGTATCCTTGGGTTAAGTTTTCGTGTAATTAACGCGGCGGTATTCAAAGATGTCAACTCTTTACAGACTTATGTCGAGCTTATTACTCGACATATATACAGTGAACACTTCTGCCGTCGCGTTAATTAGATACTGAGATGTGAAAATCAATGCGAACTACCCTGGAGGAAGAAAAACGGCTGGGTGAAGATCACTTTTATCCTCGGCACCGACTGCATCTTCTGGTCGTTCTGGCCAAGAAGTAGCGGCAACAATACACACGCGTAAAGTTATCACTGCCGACACCGCGCGAGCACGCGCCGGGGAAATGGAATCTCCCCGATTATAATTCTTTCGCTCGGCGATTCTACTCGCAAATGTAGCAAGCGCTGTTTCCAGTGTACTCTACATCGCCGCGAAGTGAGTGATGAATCCTCAGGGGGCCCTCTCGGCCGGGAACAAAAGAGAACGAAGCGCAGAGCTGAAAGGTGTGATTGCGAGGAGCGCGTCTCGATGCGCTGCACAACACGACGCGGACGAGAGAGAGAGAGAGAGAGAGAGAGAGAGAGAGAGAGAGACAGAGAGAGAGAGAGAGAGAGAGAGAGAGAGAGAGAGACAGAGAGAAAGAGAGAGAGGGAGAGGGAGGGAGGGAGAGAGAAAGAGAGAGAACCGCTCGGTTATCGCAAGAATAACAAAGTCCAAGAGCCGCGGCACGCTCTTGCTGGCGTATCAGCCGGAGGAAGTAACCCCGTGCGTGCGAGCTATTTTTATAGCGCCTGCTCCTTCTGACCGGCAGCATGCTGGAGCACTTGAAAAACACTTGTGCGCATTCCGTTACGTTTACGCAACGATCTGCGCGGCGGAGCCGGGCGACCGAAAGAAGCGACGAGCAGAAACGAGAGGCCGGGAGCTATCTCTCTCTCTCTCTCTCTCTCTCTCTCTCTCTCTCTCTCTCTCTCTCTCTCTCTCTCTCTCTCTGTTCGTCTCTTGTCCGAGGGCGTTCCTTCATAGCGGCGGCGCTTTTTAATTTTCGAGTAGGTACGCGCACCACGCGCGGTCATTCATCATTTTTTTTCTGCGAGTTTAAGTACCTCGCGGTGCGTTCCGTTCGCACGCTCGCTCGCGACTTCGTGAGAAGCCCGACGAGGAGCTAGCCGCCTCGAAGTTTCACCTACGCCACTCTTGATCGATGCTTTCCACACGGGCGGTGTTTCAGCTCCTTCGCTTTTCTGTCGCCTTTTCGCACTTGCGGCAAATATTAATAAGCGGATGAATGGACGGATAAATGATTAATTAATGACTCGTGCTCGATGACATGGAGGGCGAGGGAAGCAGGAAGTATCGAGCGAGTATTTTTCCTAGGCGTGAAGGAGAGAGAGAGAGAGAGAGAGAGAGAGAGAGAGAGGGGGGGGCGAGAGAGAGAGAGAGAGAGGGAGTGTACGAAAGGGGATACGCGAGAAACGATTAACAGCGCGTTCGTCGGGCGGAAAGCCACCGGTTTAGAGCGTTAAAAAGTAATCTCATTTCGCGTCACCGCGAATGTATGACGCACTTGCATCGCGGCGAAAAATACGTTGGAGCGAAGAAATTTTGTCGGCTGAGCCATTTATCTCGATGCAGTTGACATTCGCGTATATAAAATTGCACTTTAAAAAGTTAATTCCGACGTCCGTCATTTTCGCCGCGATTAAACGGAACTTTGAAATACTTTTCCCTCGTTCGCTCTCTCTCTCTCTCTCTCTCTCTCTCTCTCTCTCTCTCTCTCTCTCTCTCTCTCTCTCTCTCTCTCTCTCCCTCTTTCTCGCCCTCCCCCTTTCTCACTCTCTGCTCTTTCCTCTTTCCTCCGCGATTCCATCCCACCTCTCTCTCCTCCGCACCTCCGAGTGCCGCCTTACCCGTTTAATTTCCGGCACATCGCGTTGCCGGCGCAGCGATGAAAGTTTCCCACAATTCAGCAGAGATAAAGCATTTATTGAATCAGATAAAGTTTAATTTACCGTACTAACACGTACAAATACGACAGGAACGTCGCCGCTGTCGCCGCCTCTCCGTTCTCGATAATCGTCCCGCTTCCGTCCCGTCCGCTGAATTTATCGTAAAACGTTTGCCTTTCGATCCGTTTGAATTTCACGTTTCTCTGGCGGAACAATTAAAAGAGAGAAAAAAAGACAACGGACAGTCGAATAAACGTGATTCTCGCTGAATCTACGCGAGAGCTCTCCGTCCTGGAAAAGCGAAACTTTATACGCAGACTCGCGCGGAAATTCGCGCGACAGAAATCCAAAACTTGCGGCAGGCACGAATCACGTCGGCGTCCCGCCGACATCGCGCAGATTGGAGAAAGACAGAAAGAGAGAATGAGCCGTCAAGTTTGAAGAAACTCAGTAGGGTGCCGAGGAGGAAGAACGGTAGACGACGACCGAGGGGCGGTGTGCGACGGGGGAGCGGGGAAGCGAGACGGGGGAAAGGAACGGGTGTCACTCGCGTGACTGGTATCGACATCTCAAAATTGCAACGCTCGACGTCCATTGTCACCTATTTTCGCCTCCTTCGACTCTCGCGATAGTACGTTCCTATTTTCGACGGGAGAAAATCGAGGCGGACCGCCTCCGCCGCCGCCGCCGCCGCAAGCCGAAGAGATCGAGGAGGTGGAAGATAGAATATCTTGTCCCTGTCGAACGTCCGGAGACAAGCTGAAATTGAAGTAATATACAGCGCGCGCGGCACGGAGGAAGTGCGCCTTTAATACCCGCCCGGCAAGGATGTTCCGTGGCGGTCCGGCAAAAAATCGTTGACAGCATGCCGATAAAATACGTTTGCGGAGTTATTGCGTTACGGGCAACGTTTTCTCCGGGCGGGCCCGGGACGAGGCCGAAACGATCTTTCACGTCGCCAAGTGGATCCCGGGCGGGAATGGATCCCGCGCGCGCGCGCGCGCGCGCGGAGATTGGACGTCTCGCCTCGTCTACATTCGTCGCGTCCGGCGGCTCTTAAAGGATACGCAATCTACTTACCTTGATCAACATGTCGCAGGAATGCGACGCGATCCTTCCGCAGGAGCTCCGCTTGCGCGCGACTTCGTGTTCGAGGCAACGTCCCGAAAAAAATGCATCACGCCGCCGTAAAAGCGCGCGAATGTGCCGCGCAAAGTACCGCGCTAATTAATAAGCTCAATGGCCGGGATATTTTATCCGGGAATAACAAGGAAAAGGGGGGCGGGGATCTGGTGCAATGAAGCAGACGAGCGAGTTCGACTCTGAGGTATACAAGAATATTTTATTCGTCGAAAGTAACAAATATACAATTCTCTCAAATAAATCGTCGGTGTAAATCATGTCTGTCGTAATTAGCTCGATTCTCTCTCTCTCTCTCTCTCTCTCTCTCTCTCTCTCTCTCTCTCTCTCTCTCGTTTCTTCTTCCTTACGCGACGGCTCGCGGCTCGCGCTCGCGTTCGTGAGCGACGCGCGCGCCACGCACGGCGACTCGCCGCATCGTCCACCGCGTCGTCGCCGCCGCCGCCGCAGTCGTTGTTCTCGTCGTGGTCGTCGTGATCGTCATCGTCGTCGTCGCGTCCTCCTGCCTCGCGCACCGCGATCTGTATTGTCGACACGTGTGAAAAAGGATATACGGCGTCTTTCACGAAACTCGGATGCAACAGCAACGGAATTGTAGCGCCTTACGAGAAACCGAGATAATTTTGGCACGATTCTCCGAGGAAACGAAAGTGAAGTGACGACACCCAGCCGGCGCGGTGTCTCGTGCTCGTCGTCCGTGTTCGATAACGATAATCGACTGAAAAAGTACCTTCGTCGCGTCGAGCTGTCGCCGCGGACAAGTCGATGTCGCGATGTCCGCGCGCGAGCGCTTCATATACTCTTGGTGTGTCCTGGTAGATATCTATATATATATATTTATATAATATATAACATATATTTATATATAAACATCCATCTCTAAATGGATATATCTCCATCTGTATCTGCGCGCGTGTCTTTAGTACGTATGTACACGTATATCCATCTAAATGCACAGTCCCTAATTACGTCGTCACGATTATATACGGTTCCCCTTACTCTCGTCCCTCCTCCCTCCCTCCCACCCTTTTTCCCTTTCGACCACGGACCGCAACCCGCGCTCTCTCGTTTTCTTTCTCACTTTCCCTCCCTCCCTCTCCCTCTCGTTCTCGCTCCTCGTCTCTCGAGCTGTCGGCTGAAGCGTTTCTCGACTCGTGGTCCTTGACGCGCCCGAAGGATCTCCTCTTGAAGCGGGATCTCCGGGCTTCCCGCTAACTCACGTTTATTTACAGAGTACCGACGCGTTTGTCGCGCACAATTAAGGCAGTGTTTCGATGAGTCCGTTTGGAGAATCGAATCCTCCGTTTCCCCGCTCTCCACCCTTCCTCCCTCCCTCCCTCCCTCTGTGCTCGCACGCACTCGCTCAGTCACTCGCTCACTCCGCCGATTGTCCCTTCCGGTACTCACTGATCGATCTCTCGAGTTCACCGGTCGCGCCGTTCGATCACCCACTGATTCACCCGCCGATCGCCCGGCGCTCGGCTCGTGGGCGTACGACGCTCGCGACTTTCACTCACCGTTGGAAACGGTTTCGAGATCCGGTTTACCGGTCTGTTCAGAGCCACGGGCCGAGCTGGGCCTCCAGGATCGTGGCCGCGTCGGTCCTGCCCATAACTCGGAGGTGGTTCAGCAGATCCGTCACCGCCGTCGGCTCCCGGTGCCTCGCTTCCCACAGGTCCAAGATGTGCTCGGTCGGGCTGGCCTTGGTCGCGAAGTAATTGATGTACCTGTTGTCGAAACGAAGCATCATGACTGCGTCATTGCCGTGGAAACGCCGTGAACGGCCTTTTCTCGTCGCGTACATTGAGAAGAAAAAAGAAAAGGTGGAGCGGAAAGGACCGATTTCAGCGCGCAAGGCGCGATCGGGTCCGACGGAGCAGAAGATCGCGTCGACCCGGCGCGCGGCACACAGTGGGGCCAGATGACATTCTTTGGTTGAAAATCCTCTAGAGACCCGAATATCCGACCGATCATCGACCGATCAGTGGACGAGGTTGATCCTGAATACATTCCGAAGAGATCCGTGTTGGCAAAATTGAAAAAAAAATTTTTTTTTCTCGAATTACTAGCCCCCCAAAAGAGGAAAAAAGAGGAAATTATCGTTGAACGCGAGAAACTTGTGAAATACTCATTATTCGACACTTATTTCCATCTAATAGCGTATTCAGTGGATTGAAACTATGAAACCGATCAACAGACACCTCGAGATTTATCGATCTTGAAGCAGAAACCCATTAACTCAGAACTCATATGCCCAAAATACAAAAACATCAAATATAACAGACCGGTTAAGCACAAAACCGAGGGATTTTGATCCTTAATCCTTTCTTAATGCGGGCTGAAATGATGAGCTTTGAAATTCTGAGTTTCCTAAAAGGTGATTATAAGTTCTGGGGGATTTAGTATCCGTAGGCTCGAACCTATTGCGGTCGAACCCAAGACACTGTACTTCAAACGATAAACTTTTAAGACAAACCCTAAACCCATGAACCCTGAACCGATGATCTTTTCAAAATTTCGGCTAGACAGATCTCTTTGGGAATTTATTCAGGATCAACCTCATCCATTGGTGTCGATGATCGGTTGGAAATTCAGATTTCTAGAGAATTTTGAACCAAAGAATGTCATCTGGCCCGACTGTGCGGCGGGAGATTTCACCCCCTTGATCTCATTCTTCGTTCGACAGGTTGAATCCAGTGACGGAGAAAATTAAAAAACTCGTTCTACATGCAAAACGGTCCGATAATTTGATGTAATTACAATGCATGCAATGAGGTCGCCTCGATAATCTAACTTTTGTGTTTGTTGTACATTGACGAGTAAAGTAAGAAGCGAATTTTGCCGAAAGAATCGTGGCGCTCGGTCCGTCGTGCACAACCCTGAAGTGACGTCCATGTACCCAAAAGAAAAAAAAAAGTATTCTAATATTTGCAATGTGATTTTTCCCATAATATCATATTCTAAGCGAAGCCTTTTACAGAAGAAGAATTCCTCCTTCGATCAGAAATGATCAAAGTGAACGATTCATCCCAAATTTATTAGATATTATTCTAATCGTTTTCCTCTTATTTCAAGAGGATTTCCTCTAATATCAATTAATTTTCCTCTCATATGAAGAGGAATATGTTGATTTGAATGTCGGCTTCTTTTGTTCAGTCATGCTCTACCGCCAGGCAAGAAGAATAATATAATGTATTCTTTCTTTTAATTATGTTTCGTACGATTGATTATGATGAACATTTTTGTAGCTATGAAGTTTATAACAAAACTGACTTGGAAATTTATTTGTTATGATGATTTTATTTCATTCGCGCCTACTTATTGTAGAACAGGAGCCAGAAATACATTTATATATATTACTTCTTTTGCTATACATTATAATTATTTTTTCAAATCAACTAGTATAATCAGTAAGAATAAAGTACAGTAAGAATAAATAATAATTCTCTTAAAAAAAATTAAATAATCTGTGCAAGAGGAAATTTGTATTAAAATCAATGAGACTTGCGTGTAACATGTAATCTTCTAGCTTTAAGAATAATGTGCTTATAATATTTTCCTCTTAATCTTAGAGGAATCCTCTTGAGGCCATATACAGAGTGTATCTAAAAGTATGTTGCAAATTTTAAGAGCGTATTCCAGGAGTCAAAATAAGAGAAAAAGTTCCTATAAACATGAATCCAATGCCGGAGGGAAATACCTTTTCTCCGAGTTATAGCCTAAAGTTGGGGGAAAATATCGTCGAAATTTTGCACAGCGTAATAATTAATAGTGACCTTGATTTTTAAGTGGTTTTGACAATTTAGTCCTATTTTGAGGAAGAGGTATGGAGGGGGTGCTAATTTTCGAATGGCCATATTCTTTTATTTTTCGTCGTATCGAATATCGCCATTTGAAAATTAGCATCCCCCTTCACACTTCCCCTCAAAATTGGACCAAATTGTCAAAACCGCATAAAAATAAAGGTCACTATCGAGGACATTATTAATTATCACTATTAATTATTAATTATTATGCTGTGCAAAATTTCGACGATCTTCCCCCTCCCCTCCCCCCGCCAACTTTAGGGGGTTATAACTCGAAGGGAAAGCATTTTTGGACTCATGTTTACAGGGACTTCTTTTCTTATTTTGATCTCTAGAATACGCCCTGCAAATTTGTAATATACTTTCAGATACAACACCCTGTACAAGAATAAAATCCTCTAAAATGTAGATGATGCCGCTTGTCCTGAAATTACTTTCTTTCGAATGTGTCGTACGTTTGTCGAGTTGACACTTCTCCGTAGTGCGGAAACGTTGAGAGATCACTCCCTTATGAAAGAAGCAATCTGCACAAAAGGTGAAGAAGGCGTATCGCGAAAAGGACGCGTGTCGCGAGGCGCGAGACTTTTCGGCGAATCGGCGAGGATCCTGTTGAAAGAACCCTACTAACGCATTCATCCCGACCGTTTCTACTTCAAGTTTGAGCAATATATCAGCCCTATATATGTACACGTCCCGTCTGCGACGCGTAAACTTCGAAACGAAGAGAGGCAAGAAACAAAGCGCACGAGGTGAGCACGCGGTGAGGACCGCGACAGAGACACATCGGCTCGCGCTGCACGGAAGAACGACGCGATATTTCACGTCATCAAACTGCGCGAGCGCCTCGTTATTAGACATTGTTCCGGCCGTGAGACGCAAGACGCGCAAGTCGGCTCGGCTCAGCTCCGGCGAGCGTGTTTTGCGAGTCGCGTAAACGCGTAGAGTGGTAGCCGAGCGGGGAGGAGCTCTCCGTTCTGAATCAGGTGCGGTTAACGAGGTGGGTGGGGGGAGGGGGGGGGGAGAGCTTTGGCGGGTTACTGACCTGTCGACCTGCAGCCTCTGCGCCAACATTCTCCAATCGTTGCCGAGAGCGTTCGGCGGGTCCAGGCACTGGCAGAGCTGCTTCCTCAAGGATCTCGTAAACCGGAACGGTCGCAGGGTGGTGGAGTCGGTGGTGGCGTTGTTGGCATGTCCGCTGCTGACCACGGTGACTTCCCTGAGCGGCCTCGTGACGCTACCCGAGGAGATGAGCTGCTTCGCGCCGTCGTAAACGATTCTGAAAACTTGTCTCGTGTCGGAGTTGCCTTGCGAGACCTGCAGCTTGTAGCTCCTCGTGGTGGTCGGGCCAAAGGCCGTGTCCAGGCCGAAGGTCACGTGCTTGGCGTTCTCTTGGCAGTTCCAGGCGTCCCGGAACGAGACTTCCTGGCGCTCCGTGGGCGACTTGCTCTGCCACTCGTTGCCGACCTCCTCGAGGCTGACGCAGAGCGACTCGCCGTTGTCTTGGAACAGCAGCGTGCGCGGCTTGTCCAGCAGATAGCCGCGGATCTGCGACTCGCGGTCGACGATCGCTTTCATGGCGGCCTTGGTGTCTTCGACGGCGTACACCCGGACGCAGCACTGGCCGGCCTGGCTGGCGAAGAGCGCCAGTCGCAATCGCTTCGTGGCGATCGCGCTCTCGCTGCTCTGGCCGGCCAGCACGTAGCCGCGCAGCTGCTCGGTCACGATGAAAGCCTCCGCGTGGTCCAACTGCGTGAACAACGGCGTGTTGATGGTCTCGTTGCCGAGGGTCAGCACTCGGCTCCACGTGATCGACGACGACGACGACGACGACGACGACGACGACGACGACGACGACTGGTGGTCCTTGGACGCGAGCGACGGCGACGTGTCGTCGACGTTAACGCCGTCGCACGCCCACACGCTCAGCTCCCAGGTCGCCGGGTGCAGCATCGCGCAGTGCTCGAACTGCAGGATCACAGGCTTGTTGAAGGTCGCGGACGACGGACCGCAGGTCACCACGGCCGATAACTGGGTTATCCCGTCTGCGGGCGTGAAAAACGGGATCGAGAGATTCGAGATTGCTGCCGCGGCAGTCGGCGCTGAAGATTGACGGCGGCGGCGGAGGCAAGCGATATCTCGCGGTTTGTGCGGAACTTAATGCCGTTATTGTACGCGCGTTATCGCGTTATCATCGCTGCGCGCTGCGGTTTCTTCTTGCCGTTTCTTGTCTCCGCCGCATTAAACGCGCCGCGCGTATTATTTAACGCGACTCAGCACTTTGACGCGCGCGCGTCGCCGCTTCATCTCGCCGGCGGCGCTATCGTCTCGGACGAAGAAATATCTGTCGATAATGACAGCCCGTAATTGCGATATCGCTGGGACTGTGCACGGATAACACACCACAGCGCGCCCCTCGTGCTCGACGAATTGTATCTCTAGTCTCGATTGCATTTCGCGCGTTTTTTAATTGTAATGTTTTACTTTTACCTTGTTTTCCTTCGATCATGATACGGCGCTGTTCCTTTTTCGCGAGAAATGTCGCGGCGAGATTCTCTCTTGTCCGATCGATCTCCAGTGAATTTAACAGAGATTTCATCTGCGGCGAGATAAGCCGCAGTTGAAAATTGAAAAGTCGCCGCAAGTGATCATTTCCCTCGGCATTTTCGCCGCAAGGTAGGTTGGGTAAGTAATGATGCGCGAAACACCCTGGCGTAGAGGAAAAGCGCAACGAGCCTTTGAGATTCGCCGGCGACAAATTTTGGCCGATCGCATCAAAGCGATCGTCGCGAAACGTTCGCCGCGGTTCTCCAATCGGCGTCAAATTCTAGTCACGCGATTTCACACACCCGGCACCGTATCGACGCGATACGGCCAGTTCTAAAAGGTAGAGATGACGGTTTTACGAAGGAAAAGGAAAGATGGCGGGTCTCTCTAGACACAGCTTAACCCTTCGCCGCACAGTGGTTCCCCCAGAATGCCACTTATCATCCAAGCTTGTTCTTCCGATAATTTAAATTGTTCGCACACTTCTTTAGCATATTTGGTGTTGTCGGACTACTAAAATGTTCCTCTAACTAAATACACCAACTTTTCGTGTCATTTCAAGCAAGTAATTTGTTGTTAATAAGCATATACTGAACAAAACTGTCGTTTTTAGAGAATAACGTTGTTTATACGAAAAATTTAAGCAATAACGTACACTTTAAAATTTCATTATCTGGGGGTTTTCGGGCGTCGCTGAATACACAAATCCGGTGTGAAAAATACAAAATTCAAAATGGCGGGTCCAATATGACGGGCGGAAATTTCAAAATCAGTCGAATTCGCTTGAAACTTGTTACTCGAGAGTCTTTGAAGTCGCTGAATACGAATCCGGTGTGAAATTGAATACAACAATCAAACTGACGGATCTCATACGGCGAACATAATTGTAGAAATTATAGAAACAAGTTGAGAACTGGACAACCTGACCGGTGTCAACCGAACCTTATCATATATAGTATCCTTATCATATATAGTGTCATAGCTCTGGCATTTCGAATTTTCGATAACGAATTTACAATTAGCAAACCTTAAACTCGAACACCTTAAATAACAAATTTTAATCCGAATTCGGCTGATTTTAAAAATTTCGCCCGCCATATTGGATCCGCTATCTCGAATCGCAACACATTCTTCACACCGGACCGTGTATTCGGCGACCCTAAAAACTCCCGAGTGACTCCAAGTTTCACAAAATTATACCCATTAGAAAAAAAAGAAAGAAAAAAAAAAGAAAAACGTGCAACAAAAGGTTGACCATCGAAATTTGCCGATGACGGGAGGAAAAATGTCGCCGCGACAAGCGCGGCCGTGAGAGCGAGAGCGGAATTCCCCGCGACCGCAAGAGTCGTCCTGAATCCTTCCGCGCGTCGGAAACACACCCCCGGCGGCGGCGGTGCCATCGGAGGCACGCGCGGGGAACGGCATCGATATAAAAATAACAGCCCACGCAGGCGAGCACGCGAGCGTTCAGCTGCGCTCGTAAAAGTCTCGTCGGAGCAGCGCGCGGCGCGGCGGCGGCTGATGAATAATTCGTACTCACCAGGTAATCGCGGCCTGTAACGATCCTCGTTGAGCACCGCCAGATACAGCTCCTCCCTGAGCGGCTTGGGAACTGCCCCCTCCGGCACCGACATCGAGATCCCGGAGTCCGGCAGGACCAGCAGGGCGCCGCGCGTGTTGACCGCCGCCCTCGCGACGTTCCCGGCCTCGAGCTTCGGCAGGCGCACGCTCTCCGAGGCGACGTTGTACGTGGAGTCCGAGGACGGGTAGGAGCTAGTGACGCTGTTCTCGCTGTCGGAATGGATCTGCTTGTCGCTGCAGGACTCCTGGGTCGAGGTGCTGGGCGTGGGCGACATCGGGGACGGCTGGGGCGCGATCGACAAATGCGGCACGTCGTAGTGGTGTTCCGAGAGGGATCTCGACATTGACAGCTTCGGGTCGAAAGGATACTCGTAGCAGGCCGGCACACTCGTCGCCGTCACGTCCGGCTGCAGGCTCAGCTTCTTGTCCTGATCCGGGAAGAACTCCGGCTGGAATTCTGAAACGCACACGGCCGAGGCACGGCTCGTGGGTATCTCTGCGCGCTGCGGACAAACGCCGCCGAGATACTATTCCGGATTCTCCTTTGGCCGCCAGTCGGCCGCGAGTCGCAGCGTGTTTCGCGTGTTTGTTAGTTGGACAGGCGCAGGCGGAGAGTGACAGGTCCCGCGGGATTATTTCCCGATCACGATATCGGGCTCCGCGCGATCGTCGGAGAACTCGAGGTGAGAGCTCGCGTGACTCGCGGCACTCGTTGACGTTACAGGGAGAGGATTTGTCTGGAAGACGTTCGCATTCGTACGCGTCTCGAGAACGCGTGCCTTACCGTCTCATTAGTCAACCGATATTTCACGAGGGGGCGGTGTGTGTGTGTGTGTGACGTGAATTTTTCGACAAATTAGAAACTTCCTCCGTGTTCCTCTAGTTCGTAGTTTCTTCTCTTCAGAAACGACGCCGCTTCTTCTTTCTTTTCTGTTTTTCTCAAGAGGTGGCAATACACGACTGTGCGGTAATATTTGCGCGAGTAAAAATATGGAGCGGTGGAGGGTCTTGGAAAAACTTTGCTCTCCGAGCGACGTTACATCGGTAACGAGTCGCTCTTCAAAATCAACGCGAGTGACTTTGAACAGTCGCCGTGCGATTGAAGTTTAGTTTAGTCACTCAAGCCGGCTACTGTTTCCGATTTCCGGCGAGTGTGCTCTGGTCGACCCTGAAATAATAGCTCGCTCGCGCGTCCGGTCGATTCGGAGAGCACGCGTTGCTTCCCGATGTCGAGGGTCGAAAACATTAGCGACACCGAGGATCATAGGGAGATATCATAGGGAGCAGGACGGAGGAGAGGGGAGGGGGGCGGGGGAACGACAGCGTCTCGCTTTCGCGAGCGGACTCGACCGCGCGTTTACCTCTGAAATGCTTACCGTTACGAGCCATGGAGTACAAGGAGTGGTCGCGGCCTTTGCGCCGCAGCAGCTTCACCAGGAAGAACGCCAGGCTGACGATCACCACACAGGCGACCGTCAGGCCGACGTACAGGGCCACGTCCATCTGGCGGTTCTCTGCAAAAATCGCAGACGTCTTACGTCTACGCGGAAACGTGACATCTCGGCCGGCCAAAGCGTTCCGCGTTCCGCGTTTCGCGTTTCATGTTTGGTCGCAAGCAGCGGGCCGTTTATTAGCGTAAACGGCTGACAAAATGCGCCGGGCAATTTTCGTTACGCCCCAGCGTGAAGGTCCTCTCTCCGACCGCGCGGCAGTTTCCCCATGAATACTTAACGTCATCAGTTTTACTTGCCCTTTTTACGCGCGAGAGAGAGAGAGAGAGAGAGAGGGAGAGAGGGGGGAGGGAAGGAGGGAGAGAAAGGGGAGACCTGCTCCGCCGCGACAAAGCAGCTCGGAAAGTGTCGTTAACGCAGCAGCGTTAAGCGCTCCCGGGTCGCTAAATATTACGAGCGGCTCGTCGCGGGCAAGTTTGAAGATCCCCCTCCGCTCGCCCCGTCCCGCTCCTCCGGGCGAGCCGCTTCACGTCGTCGGGATTCCTCCCGGTCGTCTTTAAGATCGCGCGGCAACCTCGCGAGAGCGGACTTTTCTCAGGGGCGAACTACCCTCGAGCAACCGCCCTCCGGCGGTCTCGTATCCGGCGCGGCGTATCGATGCGGGAAGAGGGGGAGGGGGGAGGGGTGCGCGCGGAGAGGGAGAAGGAGGAGACTCCCGGTCGGGCTCGTAAAAATGTCGAAGAAATACCTCAAGCCGCGTTCGCCGCTGACACTCTTAAGCTTCCTCCTCCAATTTTAGAATGTCACAGCCATACGCGAGGCCGTAACCCCGCTACGTGACTTCGTGCAGTCGAGGCTCCCTTCCGCGGGATCATGTGTGCCTCGCGTTGGCGCGCCAACGTGTTCCCGACACGTGCCCCGCGCGTCAATATACGCGCGGGCGACGAAAATGCATACGAATTCGGCGGAGGGACTCCGTAAACGCGACGGTTCCGCGTCGTTAGCCGCGCAAGACGCCCGGAAGAGATCGGAAACGGCGTTGCCCGCGCGCCCCCCCCCTCCCTCCCCCCTCCTGGAGACAGCTTGAAAAGTGGCTTTCCGGCCGCGCCGGAGCCGTCGGGGATTTATCTTCTCCCCGAAGCCATTGATAACGCTTCATAACCCGGGCTCAATGTATTGTATTGTCGAGCTATTTATCATCTTTGCCTCTCTCCTCGGAGGAGGAGAGAAGGGGGAGGAAAGCCGCGCGCGTTCGGTGATATTCGCGATATTCGGTCGTCGGGGGAACCTGTTAACTCGTCATTTCTTCACCTCCTCGGGGATATTCAGGACGCGCGCACGGCGGACGTCCTCGGGAATGTCCTTGTTTGCGACGATTGCATTCGTTTTTCTTAATAATTCACTTAATCATCGGCTCAATGAATTTCCCTTCTCTAAGTTTTGTGTATTGTCGGGAGTTTTACCCCGGCTAGATTTCGATTAGTATTAAAAACTACAGTTGCGCTGAGACGGCGAGGATTCGAACAGGACTCGTTGACGTCTTGGAGTTTGATAAACAATGTCAGATGTCCGTTAGATCTTGTTCTTTAATTTCCTCGGAATTAAATTGTGGACGGACGAAACGAAGCTAAATCCGTCACTAAACGATATTTTAATTATTCCAGGAGATGAAGAAAAAATTAAGATCTTTGCATATATTAGAGAAACGCAACGATAAAAACCCCAAGTGTCTAAGCGTTCTAAAAAGCTCCCAACATTGTGTATCTCTTTAGCATATATTGTTAATTTATTAATTTATTTCCACAATGAGATTACTTGACCACTCATCGGGCCACGCATTCATTTTACGTTTAAATACGTTCAATTCTTCTGTTACACTTCAAACATTCGTCGACAAAGATACAATGCCGTGAATATTCACCGCAAAATTTCACCGGAGAAAGAAAAATCTCGTCGTATGACAGAGAAAGAGAGAGAGAGAGAGAGAGAGAGAGAGAGAGAGAGAGAGAGAGAGAGAGAGAGAGAGAGAGAGAGAGAGAGAGAGAGAGAGATGTCATATTTACATCACTTTCCCCCGATTTCAACAAATTGTCCCCGAAGAGGTAAATTTCCCTTAAGATCTTATCTGACGCGATAGCGAGGAATTGTTTCCCCGTCATCGAGGCAAAGTAACCTGGGCTAATTCCTATTCGTCGCATCATGCGCGCTCGTGTATCGATCAGCGCGCGGCCTGTCCACTTTAAACGTTCCAGCTCGATTGAAGGCATCGTGTCTTAAATATTTACACCGTACGTCCGAGATGACGGGAGTTTTCGCGCGAGGCGCCTGTCGGTGTAAGGCGGTAAATCGCATCACGTTCATCCGGCAAGTCAGAGAGAGAGAGAGAGAGAGAGAGAGAGAGAGAGAGAGAGAGAGAGAGGGGGGGGGGGCTCGCGCGCGCGACGTACTTCCCATCTATATTTTATCGTCGCTTTCAGGAAAATCGAACTCACTTCTGGATTCAAGGGGGCTGTTTCGAGACATCCAGCTCCTTCGACCTCCTTCGTCTCACGAGGAGAGAAAGGCGGAGGGGGGGGGAGAGAGAGAGAGAGAGAGAGAGAGAGAGAGAGAGAGAGAGAGAGAGAGAGAGAGCGAGAGCGATTCAGTCGTGTATACGCTCGCGGGTCTGCGCCACGGGATAATGGCACTTTATTTGCATGCGCGATCAATTTCCCCCTTCCGCGCGCGCGCGGCGGGGGCGTAACGGCTACCGATTACATAATTTTCTTCGATATTAAAGCCGGTCTCCGCCCCACGGCGCAAAGGGGGCAGGAGAGGGTGCAGCCGTATCGCGTGCAACTTTGATGTGCTTCGGTCGATAGAATTGACTACCTTAGGGTGCCGGGCGAGAGTCTGGGGGCGTGGAGAGCGGGGAGGGGGGGGCGGCGGGGGGCCGGGTGGATCCGCACGGAGCAGCAGGCCAGCACCCTTGGCTACGAGCCGCCTCATTGTTACGATTGTTTGGATCGCGCGCAACGAGGGGTCGCCGATCGCGCGGCTCGGGTTTTCGCGGAGCGTCAATAATTAACCGGTCGAGTAATTAAAAGTAAATAGCGCAGCGGCGGGGGAGAGGGTGCGGGCCGACGGCCGCCGCCGCGCGTTCATTATCGGCGCGGAAAAACGCGTCCGCAAATACGAGCGATATCGCGGTCGCGTCGCTCTTCCTCTCTCTCCCTCTCTCTCTCTCTCTCTCTCTCTCCCTCTCTCTCTCTGTCTCTCTCCTGCGCATCCGCGGGAATTTTATTTTCGGCGTAAGCGGGCGCGATCAGATCGAAGCGATGATGCACAGCGCGGCCGGGGCGCCTCGCGTCGCGTTATTATACCGGATTAATGAATAATGCTAATGTCCACCGCGCCTGGAATCGCGCTCTCTATTTTGCAGCCTTCCTCGAGCCGCATAAAACATCTGATTTGAATGGTATCAGATCGGCCCGGCCGTAGCGCCGCGTCGCTGGGAATATAAATGGCGCGCACCGGGCGTGAAGAATCCATCCAAGAATGTCGCGCGACGAGTTAAGGACATTTGCTTCGCGGTCGAGCGCCTCGGTCGCGCCCTGCCACGAGGGAACCACCTTCTACTCTCTCGCTCTCTCTCTCTCTCTCGCTCCCTCTTTCTTTCTCCCTCTCTCCCGCTCGTCGTTTTATTTTTCGCGAGCGTCTACAAATCCGGAACGAATCGGAGGAGGTCCGGTACATCGCACGAGAGATCGCGGCTTATCTAATCGAGAAAACTTTTCTCTTTGCCGCAGCGCGGCACGGCCGATCGCGAGCGGGGAGCGGCGGGGGTAGGGGGGGCGGGCGGGAGAGAGGAGGGTCGAGGTAGAATCGTAAAAGGAAACGAATCGAGTGGGATTAAAAGAGCGGGGAAAATGCTTTATTGCTCGGCCAACTCACCTTCTTCGGTTAAATGAGCGCCGCCCACCTTCGCGTTGCCGACTGTAAAAGGAGAAGCGCCGGTAAGTTGGATAATTAAAGGATTTCGATAGCAGCGCGCCGTTCCGCTGATAAACTACTCCTCGCTCAAGTGCCGCCTGGGTCCGTTAGTTAACGTTTTTAGTCACTTGCTCCTGCGCGCATCGTGTCTCTTAACGGAGCGCGCGCTCTCCGTTGGCCATCGCGAACGTTTCCTCGCGCGCGGATTACACGCGCGCTCGCAGAGAAGAGTGCCTGGCAACCTCGATCGATCGATGTTAGTGCGACAATAATTTTGCAGACTCGATAGCAATATTATCGTGACTGCTCTGCTCGGGTAAAACGATGCACCAGTTTGGATGATGTTGAATCAAGAAGATTTTTACTTCAACGATTCTAGTGACTTTCCGCGCAAACACGGGGGGAATATTGCGCTGAAACCCGCGGCAAAATTTCCGTAATCCTGGACCGTGCAGGAAATACGAGCGAAATTGCTGTGATTTCGCTTGACAATATTTTCCGCGTTTCATTTTTTACCATACAGCAGTGTTGCGATTACTTGAACGTTGTTTTTACTGTTAGGCGTATGCGAAAGTTTTAGTCTTTCTTCAGCCTTCTAATTTAATTATTTTAAATCGAAATATCTTCTCGCCGTTTTGCGCTTTTATAAGGTATTGGTATTTCTAAAGCGCCATTCATTATGATTTATTGGTGCCACATAGTGCCTTTCGTATCCCATCAAAAGGACCTTTTCACCGCGAATACTTGGTCTTGCCACTGACGTACGTAGAAGGCCACCCACGAATATCTGCGTTTAGGATTATTACGTATAATCCACTCTTGATCGGCAATAACAATTTAAGACAAAAAGATTTTTTTCGCGCTTGGAAAGCAATGGAACGCACCCCGGTACTCAACCGGCGGATAACGCAGTTTTGCGACGATTTATGCGGCAGCCATTTTCCAAGTTTCTAAATTTTTCCCATTTCATGCAGTCGCCTTGAAAGTGTTGCTCGGTCAACTCCCAGCTGCTTTGCAAGTTTTATTTGGAACGGGTTTTTATTCGACAATGCTTCCCAATTGTCGCTCTCTCAAACTTTCGTGGCGCATTCCAGAGCGCAGGCGATCGGTCACGTCGAGATCGCCATCTTTAAAGCGACAAAGCCAATATTTGCGCGTTTTGCGGGACATAATATTTTCCTTGAGAACGGAGCAAGTGAATTCACACGCCTCGTAGCAACATTTTTTCCTCATTGGAATTCAGATCGAGTATGTCGAATATAAAGTCTTTTGTCGCTCGTTGTAGCATTTGTTATTTTCAAGGTTATGTGCATCGATGAATCATAACGAGTGGCGTTTTAGAAAGTTCAACACCAACCTGAAGAAAAAAAAACACACAAAACGGTGGGAAAATATTAGCATGTAATATAAGTCTATCTTTCATCGTTCATTGTATCAACTGTTACTTTTAGGATTACGCGCACCGATGAATCATAATGAATGTCCTTTTAGAACATTCACAACACCAACCTGAAGAAGATACAAAACGGCGGGAAAACATTTCAATTTTAAACAACAACACCAGAATGTTGAAAAAAAAAAAAAGACTAAATCTCTCGTGCACACGTAATATCTCTGTTTAGTCCAGTCTTGCAGAAATATTGCCGAAAGAAAGGAAATTCCGGCGTAACGTTCCCCGAGATACTTCCTCCGCGCACTCTGCAACGATACTCGTCGGAACCAGACGATTAGTTATACACCGCCGAAAGTAACTACGCCCTCTGCCGAGGTTAACCATTTCCCTCCAGCGCGGATAATTCCGTCCGAATGTTCCCGGTAATATTCCGAGCTCGGGGTCGGCCTTCGTGGTATTTTATGAAATTAGAAAGCGTCGTGTTTCACCGTCGACGAGATACGGTCGTTATTGAATTCGCGCGGCTCGAGCGAGCGCGAGCAGTAATGCTCCGTTTTACGTCTCGCACGACGAGCGCGAGGGCGAGCCTCCGGAAGCCAGCGGAAGATCCCGGGGAGCTTCCCCGGGAGCGCGCGCATCTCGACGTGGCTCGAGGCTGACTTAACGGCACCACGCGGGAGGACTCCGAGCGAGAAGAGCAATCAAGTGCCGCGGGAAAAGTCGGAATGCCGGAACGGTGACTTACCGTTGCACATGCCGCCGGTGCAATTGGCCACGTTGATGTCCCTGCCCTGGCAAGGTCGGCCGCCGTGGCTGGGCGGCGGCTCGTCGCAGGATCTCCTCCTTGTGTGCGTGCAGTCGCTGCCGCACACCGACCACGCCGACCATCTGGACCATCCGCCGTCGACGACTGGCGGCGAAGAGCGGCCGAAAGAAACAAGAACAAAATGCTAGAATAAAAGACCGAGCCGTCTCGTGTCGCCGCCGCCGCCGCCGCCGCGGAGTTCACGTTAACGACGACGACGACGACGACGACGCGCTATGCTGAAGAAAGTTCGACGGGCTCATAACTCGCGCGAATCCCCGCGGTCTCGTTGCGAGGATCGTACCTGGCGAATTCGGGGCTGCGTTTGTCGCCACGCCGACGCGGACGGCGACGTTTACTCGCCCTCTCGCAACAATTCACTCGCATCGACGCGCTTTTCTCCGCGTCGCCGGCCGGCGAGGGAGCGCAGGAGGAGGAGCGAGAACAAGAGGACGATGACTAACCCGCTCTCCCTCTCGCGCTCCCTTCGAGCCTTCGGCCGTGCTTTATTGGCACTCAAGCGCCACCGGATATAAACAGCGCGCGTTGCGCGGACTGCCTTCCGCGGGCCGTTGATTCATGCAGACACGTGGAGGACTTACCCAGGGTGTTAGTGAATTCCTCCAGAGCGCCGGCTGCTCCAGAGCGTGCGTCAAGAGGGGGGGAAAAAAAGAGCGCACAAGTGGTGAGAGAGGGTGCATTGACCAACAAGAAGAAGAAGAAGAAGAAGAAGAAGAAGAAGAAGAAGAAGAAGAAGAAGGAGAAGAAAAAGTAGTAGAAGAGGTGGAAGAAGAAGAAGAAGAAGCGCCGCCGGGTTCTCGCGACGACGACGACGACGACGACGACGACGCGGGAGAGCGCGAGCGCGTCCCTCGCGTGGAAAAAACGCGGCCGACGGATTCGAGATCGATCAACGTCTCGCTGCTACCATACGCCCGGTGCATAAAGCGGTCGCCGACTCGCCCCCGGCCATTATCCCCGGGCTCTCCCTCCTTCCCTCCCTCTCCCGGCCGCGTCGTTTGCATGCGGCCCGCGTATCCTTTCGCGAGGATAGCCACAGGTGCCTTTAAGACGTCGCCGCGCGCGGACCTTGCGAAAGGTGAATACGATTTCAAAGACTCTCGAGACGAGGAGATCACGAGGCGCGCGCCGCGCGCGCGCGCGACGAGAGCCACCGAGCGGACACGTCGCGGCGAGGGGCAGAGGGAGGGGGGGGGGGAGAGATCGGATCGTAAATCAAGCGAGGAGAGTCTCTTCTCTGGTCGGTCGCATCGGTAATATCTCGTCTCCACCGCCCGTGTCGGGCAAAACCTACTCGTCTGTCGTTTGCGCGACGCGGACCGCCGCAAGAAGAGGAAGAGACACCTTCCATCCGCTCGCGCTTGCACGTTAAATACTCCTCGGGCGACGTCGCGAGTAACAGGTTGGAGCGCAACAAAGAGGCGTACTCGAGCCGGCCGGCCGGCTGGAGGATACCTTGGTGGAGAGAGAGAGAAAGAGAGAGAGAGAGAGAGAGAGAGAGAGGGGGAGAGAGGAGGTTTTCTTCGTCGCGAGTACCGCGCGGATAATGAATTCAAGGGACTCACCGGGGCAGCCTATGTTGCAGTCCATCTTTTGCTGCGCCGGGCCGAGGCAATTCTGGCCGCCGTTCATGGGCGCCGGATTCGTGCACGTCCTCGTCCGCTTCTGGCCGGCTTTCGAGCATCGCGGATGGCATTCCGACCAGGACGACCACGACGACCAGCCGCCGTTCACTGTCGAGCAAACGGTGCAAAGCGTCTTTGAGACCGGGCGAGTAGTCGTCGTGCGGGTAATTAGAGTCGAGCGGCCGAAACTATCGCACGGTCGAGAAATGTCGGTTCGTGCGACTGCGAGGAAGAGGAAGTGGACGAAGCTCATGGAATAGCGAGCGATATCTCTGTTAAACGCGACCGTCCGAGCGTCTCGTTCGGTTGCGTTCGAATGCGACCGAGATGTCGGATTTCCGCTACGGGAATCTTCCCGCCGCCGCAGCCGAATAGATTAAAAAGATGACCACCTCCTCGATTGATTATCTCGATTAGAGTCACAAGTAGGATCATGAAAAGCGCGGAAAATATGAAAACTCGAAAGAGGCCTTGTCCCGAATAATCACCTTGAGGGGGGAATTACATGCGGAGCAGGCTGTTTTCACGGATATTTTCGCGAATCTTTTTTTCACAGAAACGGTAGGATCAATGGACTTGACTTGATTTTCACAGTGTATCACGTTAGCGCTCCAAGTATAAAATAAATGTGTTACTATCTATATGGAAAGTACACACGAAACTTTAAACGCGTTTTATCTGGAAACACCATTTTCTTAAACTGTCGACACGATTACGCGAAAACTATTCAACTGAATAACACTTGAACACTTTTACACAGTATACAGCAGACATGTGGTAGAATTCTCGCCCCCTACACAGTTACATTTTATTTTATTCGTTTCTTTTAAACATGATTACAAGTTGAGAAAAAGCTTCATTTTCAGGCAATGAAGGCGAGAAAGAATGGCGACGATGTTGCGTGTCAAAGTCGCGGCCGTGAACTTACCGTAAACTGTCAGGCCGACCGGCTCGCTCTGCCGTTTCGCCGCGATATTTTCGGCGACGCACGTGTAGTTGGCCTGATGGCTAAGTTTGGCTTGACCAACGAGAAGGTGACCCTCGCTGGACACCAGAAGTGTGTCCGACTCGGTGTCCACCGGGATGTTATTTCTCAGCCAGTAAACCCGCGGCGGCGGCACTCCCAGTGGAGGCAGACATCTCAGTTCGGTGCTCTGGCCCGCCTCGACGGACACGGAGTACGGCGGCGATTCGAACTGCTTCTTCAGGTCTGAAAGAGACGAATTTCACGTCCGGATTAAAAAAGGCGGCCTCCTCGCTGCTGGTAATCCGAGCGAAACCGGCCGCGTCATATATATCGGCTTTCTGTTATATCGCGAGTGCCTCGTTTAATATCCCCGAAACGCGTCGAATTTTGCTTCACGCTTCAATCCCCCCCCCCCCCGCCTCCGCTCGCGACGCGTCTTTCCATCCGCTTGAGCGCATTTTTTTTCTTTTTTCTACGTCCGCCACTCGAGTTGTGTAACTTCGAAATTGGCCGAGCGGTGGTCCCTTTAAATTGATTCTCCTGGAAACTCGACGCTCATCGCATTGTCGTCAATTAAGGAGCGGAATTAAATAACGACTCGGCTGGCAGGAGAGAATCAAGATAATTACGAGGGGACGAAGACAAAGTGAGAGACGAAAAGTCGCCTGTCCCGGGGAGCTAGCGCTAGCTGGCTCGTTCATTTCAAACCTCTCTGATTCGCGTAGCGTAACTGTCCCGGGAGCGAGGAGAGAGGACGAGAGAATCGTCCGGACTCGAAAGTGAAAAAAAGGACGAAAGGGCTCGGGCCACTTCTCCGCGATAACGTCGCCGTCGCTGTCGCGACGATTTTTGCCGGGCTTCGTTGGCGAGCTTCGCTGGGGGGAATCTTCAGGAAGGCTCGAGACAAGAAAGAAACAGAGAAAGGAAGAAGAGAGAGAGAGAGAGAGAAAGAGAGAAACGATCGCGCGCGATCGTTGGCTTACTCACAGGCGACGTCGATGATCGCCGGCTGACTCTTGATCTGACCCGAGCCGGACCAGGCGATGCACTCGCACTTGAACTTATCCTTGCCGAAGTACTCCTCGATGTGATCCCTCGTGACGTTGAGCTCGCAATCGACGATCCGCGTGCCCGTGTGCGGGTCGACAAAGTCCTGCTGCTGCGAGTCCTCCGCCCGCACGTTGTTGCAGCGGAAGTAGATCTGCAGCGCGTGGGCGGCTTTGCAGCGCAGAGTGGCGGGCTTGTTCTTCACGACGAAGGAGTTGACGGGCTCGGTGAGGAAGACCGGCAGGTGACCGCCGCCCTCGGAGATCAGCTCGGTGTCGCTGGCTATCGTGGCCGAGGGCACGTCGTCCTCCTCCAGAAGGTACGAGTCGTCCTCCTCCGCGGCGTCTTCGCCTTCTGACACAGAGAGAGAGAGAGAGATTGCGCGACTTTTCAACGACTCGCTGCCGCGAAACCGCCGCCGAGCTGCTGAAAGCTAGTCCGCCGCTCGTTATCGGCGCCGTTGTAATTATCCGCGAACGGAGCGGAGATCGTTAAGAAGCGAACGGCGTCGGTTTTCGCACGGGAACAAAGTTGGGAAAGTTACTTCTCAGGAGTAACTCGTCTCTCCCCGTTGTTGACCCTCAACCCGTAGAAGCTATCACCCGAGAAAATCGCGTTAATGCGCGGTCGTGGGTGAAATCTTACCCCCGTATATTATTTTTATTTTAGAGACTAACAGAGTCAATGTGCGCAATTGAATGCTTTGTTATTATTGAATATTGGACGAAAGGTAGACGGGTGGGTGATTGCTAGGATTCGCTGCTCGTTGCACGCAGGCGTGTTCCACGCGTGCGAAGCAACGATAAAATTAACGGTTATACTCGTTAGCACTCGTTAGCGGAGAAATGTAATCGCATCTCACCGTTACTCTTAGGACTTGTAACGGAAAGAAACAAAGTCGCTACGAAATAGTCATCAGACAAAAGGTCGCTGGCTCGAAGCGACTCGTAAGCGACGCCGGCGATTCCGAAAACATTCCTCCTAGCGAGAGGACTACGACGAGGAGTCAACGACGAAGCTCTCGATGTGGCCAATGTCGGCCACATCGTCGCCGTCACGTCGCCCGCCAATCGGCCGAGGAAACGCGACGGACGGACTGACTCCTCGGGATTCGCAAACGTAATAGGAAAGTTGCCTGAAGAGTCGCTTCATAGATGCTCGCTGGATGCTCAAAATTGCCCGACAGCTAGGACCGCGAGAGAGAGAGAGAGAGAGAGAGAGAGTCCAGACCTGGACGAGCGTGTCGGGAATCGAACTGCTTCGCGATTTTCTACCAGTTCGGGAGGGAAGATATGATTCGTAAAAATTGCATCAGAATCCTAAATTTATCGCCAAAAATGGTTACGCGACTGTGTAACCTACGCTGTAAGAAATGATGTGTTAAATTTAACATATTTCACGCGTCTCAAATCATCCACCTCTCATTTATGTGTTAATTTAACATACATACAGCAAATATGTTAAAAAATAACACACGTAATATGTAGTAAAAAATTAACGCAAAAATTTAACACTTGCATGCCGTCAAGAATCACAGTTTGTGTTAAATTTACACACAATGAATGTTACTTCAACATTTGGGAAAAGTAATGATCTATGATCTGATGAAATGAAAATGTTGGATTGGCATGATCTATGTGTTAGAGATCCAATATTCGCATAGCAGAAATGTTAACGTTATACATTTAACACATGATAATTATTATAATGAGGAAAGTAACACATTTCAGGTGTTGACTTCAACATATAAAATATGTCACAGCAAGAATTCAAGCATTTACATATAAGTTGTGTTATTTTAATACTTGGAAATGTCGCATTTAACACTTGAAAATAGATAATCTTAATTTAACACAAGAAAGTCTAGGTAACGCAACAACGATATGTTAAATTAACACACGACTGTGTAAAGAATTTAACACGAAACCTTCTACACACAAATAATTTTCACAAAAGTACGAAATATTTTTAACTGCGTAGGACTGTAACACAGGATTTCTCAGGGACGAGTTTCACGAGGATGCACCGTTGTGGACCGAAGGCAAATAGAGTGAGAAATTTGATACGCTTTTCGTGACAATAGGGAAACTCTGGAGTTCCGGTGTTTGGTTAGGATAGATGCGCGAGGATTCAGAAGGTAATGATAGGAAAGGGCACGGAAGGGCATCTTCCATGTCTGGAAGATTAGGAAGGAGTGCGTCACGTACAGCCCGCGACGACTCTTCCACGACAATGTCCGTGACATTTTTGAATTTTGTGCGATGGAGTTAGGTGTGAGGAGGGAGAGAGAGAGAGAGAGAGTTGAAGTGTGACTAGAGTTTCCAATCCCGGATACAATTTAGGATCCTGGGATTTCGGGATTTTTTGGATTCCATCCCAGGATCCCGGGATTATATATATGTAAAGAAAGAAACAAGGGATATTTACAAATAATAGAATTATTTCATTTATAGAACGTTCATAGACTTTTATGAACATTAAGACAAACAAAAAATAAAATTTCAATAAAAATGAAAGCAACTTACATTAATGATTGCACAAAAACCGTTACAATTAAATATAAAAGTTTTTGTAATAAAAATAAAAATAATTATTTCTTCTTCTTCACATTTGAAAAAGCGACCTTAAAAATAATAAAACATAAATTTTGTTAAAAAATATCTGATCGAGGATCCCGGATTCGAGTCTGTGTTGCGCCAGTTTATCCGCGAAATTAAAAATAGAAAACTCCCTTAATATTTAAAACAGATAAAAGTAATACATGGAATTAAATTTAAAATATAAATACACACTACTCTCCAGCAAATCCTCTAAAACATCAGCAATAAATAATAATTATCAAATTAAAATTCTTGTAAAACGTAAGTATTATATAGACACTAAGCATTAAATTTTGAAATCCCGAAATCCCGGGATTTGTGATGTTGAATCCTGAGTATTTCCGGGACCAAAAATTTGGCCGGGATCCAGGATCCCGGGATTGGAAACTAGGTGTGACTGAAGAAGCAACAGGATTTCTTCTATTGTCCTTCAAGTAACCTTACGTTTGGCGAGCAGTCCTCCTGCACACCTGCGTGATTCGTCCTTCGCGGCTTACACCCGTCTAAATCGCGCGCGTGGTTTGGTTAGGTCAGGCTAGGGTTATGTTAGGTCAGGTCAGGTTTGGTCAGGTTAGGTTGGGCGCGCAAGGATTCGGCGGGTAATGACAGGAAAAGGCAGGGGAAATGCGCGCGCCGCGGCGCCGCGAGCTGTAATTCACGCGATCCGGTTATTAATTCGACGACGATCGTTCGGCCGAGTCTCTCGCTATATCGCGGGCTCGCGAAAATTTTATACTCGCCCGTCAACAATGGGCCGCGCGTCCCTCCTCCGCCTGTAAATCCTCGCGGCCGGCCATTAATGCTGACGCTCCGCGCGACTTCGCGCGCCGGCTACGAACAATCGCGGCGCGCACTGCAGTAATGAATTTTCGGATTTACGCGGCGCACCGGTGCACAAGTCCGATGTATTTTCCGCCAACGAGTGGTTAGACCTTTATCCCCGTGCGACATTTGGCCGGGGGCCACAATTTCCATCGCGATAAACGCGAGCGAGCGCAAACGCCACCCTGGTGTCGCGTCGCACTCTCTCTCTCTCTCTCTGCCTCCCGCTCCCACTCGTCCCCTCTCCGGCCGCCCCTCTGCCCCTCGGGGGCTTGAAAAAAAGTGCAGCGTGTCAGTAGTAAACTGTCTGCGCTCCATTTTTTATACGGCGCTCAATTTGTCAACATAAAATCCGATATCGCGCGGGCGCGCGCCGTTGCGAGGCATAAATACCGGGATGGAAAAGCCATGCGACTGTGTTTTGAGCGCTGAGCCGCGAGCGCGCCCTCCGTGTCGCAGTCATTGAATTGCGACGCGACGCGGCGTCGACGCGGGATAAGCGCGCGATATATATCGCGGGATCAGCCCGGACGAACGAGCGTGAGCGCTGTCTTGCGATCGATCGCTCTTTTTTTTCTCTCTCCTTCTTCCGCCGCCCCTTTGCCGTCCCTGCCCTTTAGCGACCAGGCGCGCAAAACGCACGGACGCGCGGCCGACGCGGCGTCGGGCTCGTGCGCGAAACAAACGCCGCCTCCTCCCGCGCCGCCGGCGACGGACGACGCAACGTTCGTCCATCGAATCGCGTCCCGACCGGCATTCAGTGCCGGTGCGGGGAATTTATAGCGTTCGCGACGTGAATTGTAGCTTTTCAGCGTCGCCGTCGAACGTATCGTCGAACCTGCTGGCTGCGAGAGAATGTCTCCGCGGAGTTTGCCGGAGTTGGAATTTCCCGTCTGTTAAGTAATCGAGAGAGAGAGAGAGAGAGAGAGTTTGGGCCATTTTCATGAACAGAGATGAGTAATAAATTTCCGTAAGTGTTTTACGCCGCTAAATTCTCTGTTAAATAAGCACGCTTTTAACTGATGGTGTGTGCGTGTGCAGTTTCGGCAGAAACGGCACGAAGTTTCCTGGTTGCCTGATATTTCTCATCCGACATCTCCAGATTCTGCAGCTTTGACTGAATGGAACATGTAGTTTATATATAGGGTAGGTCCGGGATATAAATAGATGGGCATAGTTTTTTTAATTAGAAATAATACATCCGTTACCACATATTAACACACTCAGTAGAGGATAATGTTTAAGGTACAGAAGAGTTTTCGTGAAAAAAATTCATGGGACGGCGGTAACAACGAAATATTAAAAATATTCCGTGAGGGGGGCGGGGGTAGGTGGTCATACGTGAAAGGATAGTTGGGCATCACTATATTAATGTAGACATTTGTTTACCTTTGTTAATTTTTTTAGTATTTTACATCCTTTCATTAATTAATAACCTTTTTATTAACCCTTTTATTAATTATTAATAAGATAAAACGTTTCCACAAGTTTCTTATAGAAACCAAGGACAGCATTGGAGAGAAGGTTGAAAAGTGGCAACATAGAAAAAGGTCTTGCGGGAAAAGATTGTTTATTAAAGGAAGAAATCTATTCGGCATCTTTAATGGAAACAGAAGAAGCCGTTTCAAATGTACTGAAGTTTTTAATATTAGGTACCCACGATGGTGGAAAATGACAGTCGAACAGATATCGGATCGACGTCTTTTATACATCTAAAGTATCTAAAAAACGTCGACCCGATGTCCATTGTTTGCTATTTCTTGAGTAGGCCGCCCATCTAACCCTGATAAGAGTGAACCATCTATCCCGTTTGGAGAGTTCGCGTAAAGATGCGTATCCCGCGCGAAACGCAGTCTCGGTGACGAATTTGGTGGTTTACCCAAATACGACGTTATTTAGTCGTTTAAGCCCAGGTCTAATGTTGTAGCTCAA